AATAAGGTGTCTAAAGCTATGAGATATGGAGGACATATAGTTTGCGGTTTTCTGGTTTCCTCTGTAATGGTGAGAAGAAGAGAGTCCACTGTTCTTTTTTTATTTGGAAGTAAAGGATGTAAAATCGGTATGAAGAGGAACTTTCCATTTGTCTTGAAAACCCTGCCCCCAGTCCTCTGATAGTACTACGTGTTTGCATCAGTGTGCTGTGCAGACATCATGTCTCCTCTGAGGAGCCAGTTCTACCTGAAAAATTGCTTTCAAAGCAACAGGATTTAGATCAAACATTTAAAAGAATAAACTAGTGAATCCAATCCTGTAAATTGTGAGGGAGACTTTTACACAAGTAAAAGCTAAATTTCTTTTTTAACACTGCACACATCTGTGTGTGTCAGCCTCACCTCAAGGTGATCGAGGTGATTGGCAGGTGAAAGGGAGCATGTAGTTGATACCCTGTTCTGCTCTCAGTTTTGGTTTTCAGTTGCAAAGCCTCTATTATGTGCTATGTGACACTTGTTTGCTACTGGCTGTCTAACTTCCATTTGCATTAACAGTGAAGTGAACCCCTCCCCAGTAACATACACCCCCACCTCCACTCCCCCCACCCTTGTAGTATTACCCACCACAATCACTTTGATGGCTGCAAAGCTGTTGCAACAGGCTGCTCTTTGGTTACTGATTATTTGCAATATAAACCACTTTGTTTTCTGTGTCTAAAGCCTGTTTATAATGTATCTGCAGACACTGTGACTGACCTACATACACAACCAGGGTGGAAAACTATCAGACAACAGTCAGAACACTAAATACTTGTTCAAATGTGGCTGTGAAGTCTGGAGTCGCAGCACTTTAGTAGCCAACCAGACAGCATTTGGTTAACTTTCCACTGTCCCCATTTGTCTCCCGCACAAAATTCTGTCTTTGATGCTGATTCTAGATTTGCTACTAGAAAACAAATGTATAACCTGTATATGCAGCTCTTTTTCTCCATTATTGGTTTGAAAGTGTAAAGTGAAGTTGTATAGTAAAGTTTTAGAAACTCTGCAGCCTGTTCAATGATCTGGAAATATGCAGTTTTCTAGTCAGCTCTGCAGTTTTAATGTGCTTTTTAGTTGCAGGGCATTTGGTGACAGGGCATAAACTGGCTCCAAGTGTTACCAGTTGGCCCAGTTTCTAGTTGTTTATCTAGTTTCTTGTAGTTTATCTGAATTGCAAAGCTTTAATGCAGGAGGGGCCTCTGCCCCAGCACACATACTATAGACATGAAAATGTAAAGCTGCAATAACCACACCCATCTCAGCTTGAAGTCTGTGTATATACTCTGTGTGCGTGTGTGTGTAGTGGCAGCAGGGGAAGTATGCTACTGCAGCATAGTTGCTCAGTGGTTAGCACTGTCAACATAGAGCAAGAAGGCCCTGGGCTTGAATGTCCGGTTGGGGAAGGGCTTTTCTGTTCGGAGTTTGCATTTTCTCCCTGTGTTTGCGTGGTCTTCTTCCAGGTGCTCTGGTTTCCGCCACCATCAGAAACATGTATATTAAGTTAACTACTTTGGGTGGGTTAAATGAAAAGGAGGTATTTCACTAGACTTTGTACTGTGTATGTGACAATAAACCTTATTTGATTTGATAAGGGCTATATAGATGGAGCTGAGGGAGGGCAAGAGACACACAGAATTAGAGGGAAACCGATAGAAGTTGAGGGACAAATGGAGAGAAAGGTAGAAGTGTGTAAAAGACAGGAAGGGAAAATACAAAAACCACTTTGGTTGTCAAAAAGACAATGAGGAAAAATAGAGATGGAGAGAGATAAGGGCAGCTAGAAAATATATAATGGGGGTTGGGCAGTGGTCTTGCTGGTTGGAAATTATCCTGACTGCAGCAGTTAGTCAGATAAAGCCTCCAACCCCGGACCCCTAACATCTATTGCTCTGCATAATACAGATAGGCCATTACCAGCCTCTGTCCGAGCCACAGGTTGACATGTTTTAAAGTGTATATATTTTGTATGAAGAGTGATGTGTGCATTTGCAGCCACTGGACGAACCCTGTTTGATGCATTTTTATTAAATTTTCCTTCTTTTAAAAGCACCACTCCTGTTTTTTCCTCACCTGTTTTTACATCAAGGTGTTCGGTTTCAGGTGTAGATTTTTATCAGTGGCTATGTTTACATGGATTGGTTTGAATTAGACGATATTATATTTAATATTTAAATGAAACTGGTTCCTTACGTTGCTTGTAGAACTGTTACATTTAAATTTCCTTTACCTGCCAAGGGACACAGCCTCGCCTCTAAAGTATTTTAGAGCATCAGTTCACTTCAAATATTTAACACCCCACCCAACATTTCTGTAATGGTTCTAACATGGCCTGCCTTCCAGCAGGTTTCTTTCAGCACGTGAGCAGATTTAGATAACAGGGCAGGCGTCATTTAGCGGTTTGACAGCATTGTGTCTGCAATCTGCAGTTAAAACTGCAATACAGTCACAATTTGATAAAGGGATAAACAGGACTTAAATCATCTTCTTATTCTATAAACATCTTAGTTATTGGATTGTATTAGATGGTGTAGGCTAAAAAATGTTTTCTTACAGACAAATTATTGTAATTCTGTATATTGTAAATACATGTACTTCCATATGCTGCTGTGAGACAGCTGAAAGAACGGAATCATAGTCACATATCCGTTGCTACAAAGCAGGTTAACTATGTTAACAGTGAATTCTGAATGAGACTTGAAACTGGACATGTATTAGTAAGAAGGATACTGTGAGTGTGATAACACAGTTCACACTTCACTGTGGACTTCCAGCTCCTTCAGTTGGCAGGGAAACAATGAAACCAATTAACACAATACCTTTCAACACTGTAACACTGCAGTTACTCACGCTGTGAATGAACAATCGTCACATGAGAATTTAAGCTTTAATAGTGGATTTATTGTTGTGGGTTTTGTTAGTTCAGAATTTAAACCCTTTCCATACGTTCTGCTGACTGGAAAACATACATTCAAAATGCATTTGTTCACTCCAGTGTGAAGGAAGACTAGAGGGACTGAGATCTGAGCGTTAGCCCCATTTGTTCCATGTGACGCACTCCCACCGCACCACTAGGGAAATATTTGTTTGTGTGATTAGGACAGAGAGAGCGAGGGGGGGATAGAGAGCAAATAAAAGTGACATGGGGGGATGTTAGTTGGGGGGTAATTTCAAAGATTTATGGTGCGGCACTTCACAAAATGCATGCATCCTGTAATTAAAACTCCCCCTTGCCTCCAGCAGGCCCGTACATTAGCTGGCATCCCCCACCCCATCCACCTCAACCCTCTTCAGTCCAACAGTCTCCACCCCTCTGTTCCCCCCCAACCCACTACATAATAAGATCTTGTAGCAGCTTGGTGTCACTAATGAGGGTCGAATGCCACAATGAGGGACAGTCTGTTAGTGGTTAGAGGCCATTACTGTCACCGTCATACCAGACTTCAGCTGGAAGAGCCTTTCATTTTCATTTTCTCTGTCCGGGTGCTTGAAGCAAACACTGAAATCCTTTAGTAACTAACTGAAGTTTGGTGTTTTATTTACCGTCACTTATTGGTGTGGTGGCAGAGTAGCTTAGAGGTTAGCAAGTAAATTGGAACTAATCTCAGAATGCACATTTCTAAATGATTTATTGAGGAAATAATCAGCAGACTAATCGTTAAATAAATAGTGCGCATATTAACAGTTTTTCAGTGTTGGTTATTTGTACACAGCGCTCTCATTTGGTCTTTAAGATACTAGAAAAGAGGGAAAAATGGTCATCTCAATTTCCTGTGTTCAAGAAGTTTTTTTGTCAGATTTACAGTCCAAAGATATGCAATTTATTGTCACAACACAAAAACAAGCAGCAAATCCACACAATTGAGAAGCTAAGACCAGAGAATATTTGACATCCGTTTTCTGTCAAACAATTCACTTCTTTAGCTCTAATGAAATGGTCACATGCTGTGAGGTTTATGCTTTCCTGTGATGTGATATAAAGTCTCTACAGCACATGGCAACTTGTGGTTTGGTCTTCTAGCTGTGGGCTGTTGTGTCTGTGTAGTAACAATACGCTCTCTTTGTTAGGTGGTGCTCAGCTGTAGACTATGTTTCACAACCTGCTATTTTCAATAAGAGATTATGAAACTCTACAACCTCACATAGATACCATGTGATATTTAGTTGTCAAGACTTCTATGCTCAACCTAGACTGGTGGTTATAACTGTGAACCCTGTGAACCCCTGAGATACTGAAGCTGTACCACTGCTGCTCACTCACCTATGATGGACTACGTGTTAGCGTAAATGTGTGTTGCACATCTTTTAATTGCTGTGAATGAACAATAGTCACATGAGAATATAAGCCTTAAAATTGGATTTATTGTTGTGTGGTGTTACTTACACTGAGAGCAAATAAAGTGACATGGTAGTTGGTGTTTAATTTCAAAGTTTGTTGATATGTGTGTGACAAATAAATAGAAAGACCTCCAACAATATATTTCACTATCACGCTGACTACTAGGCAGGGAAAACAACCACAGGCTCAATGGGCTCACTGTCCTCCCCTGAGAGGGCGCCCCACTTTTACTGTTAACTTTCACCGAACTTTCCAGAGCCCGGGGCCCCACCAGCAGCTGGACCCACATCATGTTCTCATCAAGCCAGACTAGTCTTTAGGTTTCTCTCTCTGTCATCTCCTCTTATGATCAGAAGGCAAGTGATTTGTTTCTCACGACAGATCTTTAAGGATGAATATCTGTTTTATTTTCTTTGTTAAGCAGTATATTGGTTTTCAAAGTAACAGCGGGAGCACTGAGGACATTTTCTGTCAGCTAATCGTTGCATCATTTCAGCTTTCAGATTGCTTTTTGTGACAGCAGAACACCCTGGGTTTTAGTATTTTTTTTATTTCGGGTTCTCAAACTTTTGTTTTTGTCAGATATACAGTCACTTTATCTGTGTCTCTCCTCTTCCTCCCCACAGCTGTATGAACTGGACAGAGACCCAAAGAGGAAAGAGTTTCTGGATGACCTCTTCAGCTTTATGCAAAAAAGAGGTATGTAACTGTGTGTGTGTGTGTGTTTGAGTCTGCATTTGTACATCACATTTACTCTCACTCATTAAATTAAAACCTACATCCATCAGTTTCTTATCTTGTCATATTATATCTCTTTGCTTTATCTCCACCCAGCTTCACACAGAGACTCTTAATAATTGGGTATAGAGATGGATGACCCCCCCCCCCCCTGACATACAACACTGCACTGTCTACTCATCTTTCACTCACATGGGTTGGGCCTTTATTCATTTCAGAGATGATTTCTTTATAGTTGCACAGCCTCTTGTCGTTCCCAGGCTATAACTAGAAGGGATCAATGCCTGGGAATGGATTGGTTTACCTTCCCATCCCCACACTCACACACACAAACATTGACCCAGCCACCATGCAGGATCTTCGCAATGGTGACACACACAGCATCAAAACTGCCAACTGAGCCAAATAAATTCCCATTTCTCCTCATCCGGAAAACTCATTGTCATACTTGGGAAATTGTCAGTTGTGCAATATTGTGTTTTCTCATTCACAAACAGACAACTCAGCACACATACCAAGCAGCATTGTTAAACTGACATGTTGACTTTTGGGGGATTTAATCAGGTCAGTGGGCCGAGAACTGACATGAGAGACAACAGACATGTGCTCACAACTGAAAAACCAGTACTGAATGTTTACAGTGTCAGAACCACCGGCAGTGGGCGGATCTGCCAAATCTGCTTTCAGAATCTGAGAGTGCCATCTAAAGGCCGTACCAATAACTGGGGCGTCAGTCCTCAAAATGGAAATCGAGGATTAATTATATTTTATGTCAAACGTGGGCCTGAAGATTGTGTTTGGATTCACATAGATTAATACAATATTAAAGGCACTGATTATCTCTTGTCCCCAGGCATGTTGTCTCATACTTTCCATTAACATATATTCACGTCATATTTAGTTTGAAAGATCCATCAACATTGAATGACATCACACAAGTACACCACACTGTATTTCTCAAATATTATTTTCAGGTAACTTCCCCTCATTAGGGTCAGGTTGTTTCCAGTTCCCTTATACAATCCAATCGATTTAATCACATGACAATTTGATGGAAGGAAAGGAAGAAAGTCAGAAGATCCTCTGGCCTAAGATAGCTTCCTGGCCTGGCATTATGTATTTGGCTGGTAAAATGGTCAAAGCAACACCTACATTTCGGGGAATGAAAGACACAGTTGCCTATTCAAACATGTGTCATACCCCAAAGATTCCCAGCAGGAACCAGTGCAGGAAGATTGTTGATCCTCTGTGTGTGTGTGTGTGTGTGTGTGTGTGTGTGTGTGTGTGTTATTTCAGGAACCCCGGTGAATCGTATTCCCATCATGGCCAAGCAAGTTCTGGATCTGTACATGCTCTACAGGCTGGTGACAGAGAAGGGCGGCCTTGTGGAGGTCATCAACAAGAAACTGTGGAGGGAGATCACCAAGGGACTCAACCTGCCTACCTCAATCACAAGTGCAGCCTTCACCCTCCGCACACAGTAAGTACTCACACAGACACAGGTGTGGTCAAAGCTGTTTTTCTTTGGTCTGAATTGTAGCTGTTGGTTTCAAGCCATGAGGGCCTGTAAAGAAAGCTTACAAGTTCTCTAGCTTATTTATTGGACTGGTTGTTTACTGTTGTGTTGCCAGAATAAAAATAAATAACATATCACAAATGATGTGAGTTTCTATTACTTATTTGCACGCACCTTGTGGAGCTGCTGTCTGTCAGCTGCCAAACAACAATTTAATTTGACCAAATAATTAAACCCTCTTTTTCAAGTCATTTTCTGTAGTGGTATATTACAAGTTAACAGTGCAACTACTTGTAGTTATTCTCTCGCTAATTTGAGGCTAACTGTTAACCATTTGTGTACCAAATAAATTGACTAGACACGGACAAACAGTCGTTATATTTTAATTATTTGATCAAAATTATTGCTAGGGACCATTAAGTAGTCACTTGATATTGGTAGCGACATATCCCCATCCATTTCTAGGCATGTTGGATTAAGTGCTGGAAAATTTCACTGTAGCCAGTGATCTACTGTGAACATTTACGTATTTAACAGGGTACTCCAGTGATTTGGTATTGTACTTCGATAAAGTTTGGGGACATGTGAGAGACTATTTAATAAACGAATGGTCAAAAGCAAAGCAGCAGAGATCGAGATATCCTGACTTTTAGTTACTAATATAGGTGAAACTCCAAAAGCAATAAATCATACAATTTCCACAATGCATCTTGATAACATTTTTCTTCTTTATGTCCATGTCTGTCAAACCCCAAGCCCCATGTTATGTTACACAGGATTTCTGTTAAAAAACGGCTGTCATTAAGCCCAAGCTCGTCGTTTTCACATGCTGAGTCATTATCAAACTGATCTTAATGTGCAGAATTTGTGGAATACCCCTTTAAGCTGACTTATAGCTCAGCCCACCCTGTAAAGCTTTGCAGGCATTTAGGTTTTAGGAACTAATTGACATTTTCAGTAGTACATAAATACATGGTAGCGATGCACCGAATGTTCGGCCAATGACATTAATCGACCGAAAATAACACTTTTGGTGTTCGGCCTAATAAGTCAAAAGACTGATTAAATTTTATTGAACAATTACGTTGATATGTTATGCAATACGAGAACCACATACAACATTTATCATATTGAGTCGGACTTGATGAATTTAGCGTGAGGATTTTTATATACAGTCTATGGATACACATGTGACAATGTCCGGTTTTCAAAATAAGGTTTCTATACAGTATATAAATAAGATTAATTGGATTGTTTTCACAGAAAGTATAAAACATACTACATGTGTACATTAAAAGTAAATGGACCCATGTAATTTACTTTACCCACCCTCTTGGGCCATAGACCCACCCCCCAAAGTCTCTTCAAATCTTGTGGGAAACACATTTTGACTATTTAATTTATGCAAGAATTTTCATTTCGGTGCATCCCTAATACATGGTGTTCCTTCCAGATACATGAAGTACCTGTACCCATATGAATGTGATAAGAGGGGTCTGAGCAACCCCAACGAGCTCCAGGCAGCCATCGACAGTAATCGGCGGGAAGGCCGACGGCAAAGCTTTGGTAGCTCCCTCTTCACCTACTCGCCCAATGGGACGCCCACCATGCTCTCCTCTCCGAAGCTCCCCACGACAAGTGTGGGCATGACAGTGGGCACCAATGGGGCATCGCTGACGCCCATCCAGAAGATCAAGAAAGGTGCGATTTGAGTATTATGATGTGCTCCCGCCACATGGGATTAACTGAGTCAATGATTGAAATTGAAGACATGGAAGCATGAAAGAGGAAATTTTGAGTCATCAGAACATATAATGAGTGACTGTAGATTGTCCTTTTTTAACACATATGAATGTGGTAATGTCATGAGCTCCTGATTTAGTAACTGTGAGCTTTGGGTCAGTCTTCTAAAATGACAAATACATTAAGTAGATGGGTTTTCTTGACATTACAATTGAAAATTGTGATGGAAAATGTCTTAAAATCATTAAAACTTGCCTATATCATTTTGAAAATAACAAATCTTCAATCAGAAGTCAGGAGGCAGGTTAAAATGAGGGTTGTGTACAAACCTTGAGTTTTCAAGCAGTAGACTTATCACCAGAAAGCAGTCGTGAAAAGCATTTTTGATTTGCTGTCCTCTCTGCTGTTATATATGTTAACCAATAGTAAGCAGTACAGTGTGCATCTTACACAAGATGACCACACTGACAGCAGTGTGGTCAGGGAGGAACATAATCTGTACCTTGCCTGGATAACGCATCATATTCAGTTGTATCTGAGTTTTCTTGACTTACACTGCCCCTTCTCTCCCTCTCTGTGGTGTCCGGCCAGAAGAGGAGGGAGGCCAGCCGCTGCCAGGGATCGGTATGTCTCGTTTGCCAGCGGGGGCGTTGGCGGGTCACTCGGTGGCTGCTGTGCAGGCAGCGGCAGCTCAGGCAGCCATGGCGGCTCAGGTGGCGGCTCTGGAGCAGCTGAGGGACAAACTGGAGGCCGGCGAGCCACCAGAGAAGAAGATGGCGCTGCCTGCCGAGGAACACCACCGACTGCTGCAGAGAGCGCTGCAACACAACCTGCTGGCAATGACCGCTCAGATACCAATGAACATCCGCATCAATAACCAAGGTATTGAACACACTGTGGGGTTTCTGATATATTCAGCTGACAGGAGGAGAACAAAAAAAACAGTCAGACATGATTTTCATGTTTTCACATGAAGTTGTGTTCCCCTGTTGGTTGAGAAAATTCTTCTATCTAATCAACATTAAACAAAAGTATAAGCCATCTTTCTTACATCGTCTCAAAATGTCTTACTAAGGATAAATGTGTCACCACAATCATGTGAAATTAACACTAGAACCACCAACGGATCAAATTTACCCGCGGATGTTTTTTGATTGTATGTATCTTTGTTTCAATATAATATTCAAGTCCCCCAGTCTCTGACTTTTCCTAAAAGTGTGTTATGTAGCACCCCATATTGTTAATGTCAATATAAAGCCAGATTTAAAAAATGGGCATTTATACCTATAAGTGCCGGCGTCATTTTAGCGCTGTTCATGTCACACGTTTAGATAAACATTCTATGTTGCTATTGGCAACGCCTTTCCCACTACAGGCATTACACTTGCTCAGCGAAGTGAGTAAAGGAGAGTCTGATGGTGGGGGCGGAGCGACGTGTCCTATTCTGCCTCTGACGGGTCATTACCTCACAGCAATCCACTTGAATGAAGTAAATTTGCATAAAAGCCGCTGCTCATAGGTTTTGTTTAGGCTACATGATCATCAAAACTAATGCTGCAGTAGTCTAGTTTTTCCCTGTGATAGAGGTGTGTTCTGCGGTCCCTTCAAGAGAGCGTGCGGCTCCCTCATGTGCTTTTTGACCGGCTATAACTTTTCCAGTGCTGTGTATTTTTTAGTATAAGTGATCATTAGGCCTATACATTTTTCCGTTGGGCAAAAATCTTCTATAAATTTTGGAATTGATAATAGTTGTTTCTTTCGAATAAAAAGCCTACTTTTATTTGGACTTTTGTAGCTATGTGTTTTACTCTCTGGATGCTCGATGGAGTCCAAAAAAACAGGCAGAACAGTAAGAACTATCCGATATTATGAGGTTATTTTTACCGCCTATAAAACACTACAACAGTCAGTCTTTTTTGTAAATTGTATGCTGCATTTAAATTCAAGTGTGTTTAGAATATAACTGGGCTATACATTTACATTTATCTGACTCTTTTATCCAAAGCGACTTACAATTTCTATACATGTCAGAGGTCGCACACCTCTGGAGCAACTAGGGGTTAAGTGTCTTGCTCAAGGACACATTGGTATATGGGTCACAGTGGGGGATTAAACCCAGCATGTGTCTTATCCGTTGCTCCATCACCACCCCATCTATAACAGCAGCAAGTGGATGACATCAAAAGAGCCGCCGCATGTGAACATGCCCTTCACAGATGCGCAGCACAAGCGAACGACAATGAATAAAATAAAATAAAATAAATTAATAAAATAAACATTCTGTAAATGCCTGAAATATGGGGATGGTGTTTGTTGGAAATGCACAGCCAATGTGCTAAATGTTTCCCAAAGTCAAAATCACGACATTTTTATAGCGGGTAAACTTTACCCTCTATGGCGGTTATAGGTATACAACGAACCCTGGCAGTTCTAGTGTTAAACAGTAATTTCCAAACCTAAGACTACTGGAAAACCAGACTGCCCTGTCTTATAAAAAGAAGATCTCATCCTTGGTCTGACTAATTACTATTAGTTTTTATCTCTGTTCAGTTTAAGAAAGTTAATACTTGGCCATCTATTTCCATCACAGTGACAGGTTGCAGAAGATAGGAACAGGGTCAACAGACATCAATATATGCATATTATCCTCATAAAAATAAAATGATAACCCCTGGTGATTAATAACGTTGCCTAAAGGTATGTACATAGATAATAGAAGAGGGTCTGCAGGGTGCTGCCTTAAGGAAATTGACCAGAAGTTTTTCAAGATTCTTCATAAGCTTTGGGGGGGTAAAGAGACACTAACGCACATCACTGTTACTACATCACATCTGCTGTGGGAATCATTGTGGATTTTATGTTCCATTATTTTACCCCAGAATTTACATGAGCTTGATTTTACATGTTCTCACTCTTTCTGGCAGTTAGTATCACAAGACATTCTTGTCATCTTACCACAAACCACAGCACCTAACAGTGAGGAAGTAACCCACAGCAGGCCTATATGTTGACCTGCTTAGCTTACAGAAGACGCATGCATGCACACAGCACGTGTGTTAGTCTGTGCGGGGATTCCCTTCTGCCAGGCACTTTGATCGTATCGCAGAGTTTGTCTTTGTTACTGTCTATCTGATAGAACATGCATGGAACTGTTTCTCAGTACTGAAAATACAGGTGACTTCAGAGAAATGAAATGAAATGGACACTCTTGCAAAGTTATTGTGTTGCTGTAAAAGGGTGTTCTTGAGTTGCTTTAGTTTGTTGTGCTTTTTTGGGACAAGTCACCTCTGGAGTAGTTTTAAAAAGAAGTCATGCAGTTTTAATAAAATAACAGTGATTTGGTTTTGTTAACACAGCTCTACTTTGTGGTTGTCTTCCTCACAGACAGCAGGCAGGACTCGGCCCTGAACCTCACCACCAACGGCACAAGCAGCATCAGCATGTCAGTGGAACTCAATGGAGTCGTGTACAATGGTGAGAATCGCTGTCAAGTGGCACAGGAAGTCCAGCTGACCACTTCCTTTCTAATCAGTTAATTTATACTTTGATTTAAGAAATAATCTCATTAAGTTGTTCATCATTTTAACATTTCCGAGCTCGAGACGCTCATGTCTGTGCATTAAGCGTGGTGGAACTAGAGTGAGGAGACGATTAGCTCACCTTGCTCTCTCAAAAGTTAAGAAATCTGCCTACCAACTGCTCGAAGATCGCTAATTAACATGTTGCGACATGTTTGTTTAAACTGTACTTTTAGGTGGAGTTAAGTGATGTAACTGTATCTAGGTGGACAACAGCCAGGTGCTGTGACTTCCCAGAGTCTTGTTGTCACAGTATCACTGAGGGTTTGGGACCATCAAGGGTGTAATTTCCACTGAGAATTTGGTGGTGGTGGTGGTGGAAGGAGGGGCGGATATACCGTAGATATAGAGCTCATTTTTCATTTGATGCGCAGATACATCTTGCCTCCCTCCCATTCAGACAGATTTCCAACAAACCTGCATCCGGTTAAGCCAATCTCAACTGTTTATCTAATATGGGGCGGGTTTCATTCAACGACTGACGGAGGATCATCACCAGTCTAGATTTGAAAAGTCTGCAGGTCTGTCCAGCACAACGCACCAGGCTCCCAAACTGTCAAACTAGGTAGTGCTGATTAAACATGAATCAAGATTCTATTTCCCACCTCAAATGTTTTCAGAAACACATCATAGTGTTTGTGACCAGGCTGTCATTTTTTTCCTGCTTGAAAAAGCACTTCCCCAACTTCTCCCTCCCAGCTCCATCTCCAGTCTTCTTATCTAATTCAAACACAGGAAATAAGCATATTTACCAAAAATTTTGAGTAATTTTTTAAAATATTAAATAACTGGACAGAGCCATGCTAGCTGTTTCCCCCCGCTTTCCTGCGTTTATGGTAAGTCCTGGCTCTGGCGTCTGGTACTTAAAGCAGCAATAAGCAATTTGAACATAGACAATGCAAAACCGGGCGGCGTGGTGGATAACAACGTTTGCCTCACAGCAAGAAGGTCGTGGGTTCGAACCTTGGTCGTGTGGAGTTTGCATGTTCTACCCGTGTTCTCGTAGGTGCTCCGGCTTCCTCCCACCGTCCAGACATGCGGACTACATTAATTGGTGACTCTAAATTGTCCTTAGGTATGCGTGTGACTGGTTGTTAGTCTATGTGTGGCTCTGCGATGGACTGGCGACCTGTCCAGGGTGTACCCCGCCTTTTGCTCGATATCAGCAGGGATTGGCTCCGGCCCCCCTGCGACCCTGTACGCAGGATAAGCAGTTGACGATGGATGGATGGACAATGCAAAACCTTCGGCCTCTCACTCCTGTGGTGGGAATGAGGGTGTTCAAATAAACAGCTCAGGCAAACACTTGTCTTTCTGTGAATTTTATTCAAGTCTTCTGTAGAAGGAATTCACTGGGACACAAACGCATCAGAGTATCATCCGAGTGAGCTACAGTGTCTGAGCACATGCGGCTTTTAACCTAATCTCCGTTGAGCCAAATGAGGCACCAAACATTCACGCTCATTTTGCGGACTTGAAGTGGAAACTTGTCATCTCTTCATTTATATTTAGGGCTTTCTTTTTCTCTCTCCTCCTCCAAGGCCTTCCTTCTTTCGGCTTGTTTTGTACTATACACCGTTGTAGGCAAAGGAGGTATTGGAAACCAAGACACGGAAAACCCTGATGACCCTTGTTTTTACATAGTTGCTGTGATTGGTTGTTTGATTCAGACCTGGTCCAGTTTTTTAAACAACTAAATACAAAGGGGCAGGCTCTCACAGACACATTTATTTTAAAGGAACCCTTCAATTATACATTGTTAGTGACATGCAATGGTCAAAATTTGTTATTTCAACCAAAATGAAGCAGCTTTAACATAAAAACATGATATTTTCATCCAACACTCAAAAAAAAAGGAGTGTATTTCCCCGAAGTGTTTAACTATTCCTTTAAGTTTTATTTTTAAATGGAGATGGAATTAAACAGGCATACTTTGTATTCTAACCTAAATTCTTGTATCTTTTTCTTTCTAGGCGTTCTTTTTGCTCAGGCAGCAGCAGGGTCAGCCTTGTCCGGTACATCTGGATCGTCTGTCTCCAACAAGACGGCCCGTGTCGCTCCACAGCAGCAACAGCAGCACACACCTACCTCAACCTCAACATCCAGCAACTCATTGTCTTAACAAAACCCCAGCCCTTCCCCTTTTATTATTATTTTTTTAATTACCACGCTAAGTAAAGCCAAAAATCAACCTCATTTTCTACATAATCTATGCCAAAAAGAGAAGAACCATAAACTGTACAGAGACACAAACTGAAACTCGGATCACTTGAAGTACACTATCTCAGGTTTTCTCTCACCAACTCACCTCTTTTGTTCTTCATAGCCAAAATGATTTCGTAAAAGAAAAAAAGACCCAACTGAGAGCCAGTATATGCTACACAAATATGTATGCACAGCCTGTGAATTATTTATTTCTGCATAAATGTACAGATTACTGAAGAACAAAAGAGATGGTAATAACTAGGAAGGTTAATGCACTGTTTACACACACAAACACAGCTACCGATTGACAGCGTTTTATCCTCTAGGGGAGAGATTTTTTATTTTTTATTTTATCTTTTCACTGTCGTTATTATCGTTATTGTTATTCTCTTTATTGTGTTATATCATTTTAAACAATCGTTAACAATCCTCTCACTGCAGGAAAAAAATCTATATATTTAGAATTCTATTAAAAAAAAAAGAAAATATGAATATCTTCTATTTTTAGTCAGAAAAGCTTTAAAGGTATATGTTGTTTCTTCAGGGCATATAACAATGTACCGCTGTGACCTCATTTTGTGTAAAAACCGTATACCTTATTCACATGGCAGCCATTTTGGATCTGTGTATGGACGAGCGAGTCCAGTGCATGTCTGCGCTCCTGTTGTTGGTGCCCAGATACACATCATACCAATGTCACAGATTCTCCAGTGAAACACAAATATGAAACAACTGGATCTCAAGAATCTGCAAGGAAATTGGTTCATACATTTGATCCATTATTGATCGCTACCAGAGTCTAGGTAGTAGCCTAATTAGCTACGTAGCTGACATCCCTGCTGAATTCTAGCAGCTGCTGTGGTTCTTCTTCCTGAGACAGCTGGCAATTTTTTATCCATAATCCTCACTTGTTTGTTGACATAAAGCCAGTTCAGTGTATATGTATGCTAATCTTGCAGGTAGTTTGTCAAGCTTAATGTTCATAATGGCTGTTTGTGCAGGTGGGGAAATTAACTACGGCCTTTCTGCACCTCAACACGCTGGACTTTCTGAGCCTCAGCTACATCCACACCGTTCCTGTTGCGATTATTACACGTTGTTCAATTTTTCTCAGGTGTCTGCCTGCTCATCGCATTGTACAGTAACTGGATGCAATGCAATGCTTTGCAACATCTTTCTCTGCTGAAAGATGACATTTTTATTTTCTTATTTTTCTAATTTGTCTTAAGGTCAGATGCATGCCCGTGTTTGTAGATGAAGCTCTTCAGCTAACAGGAGTCGTGTATCCACTAAATCCATGTCACTGTTGGAGACACTCACATGGGTGGACAATCAGGTGTCAGAAGAAACTATGTGAGCTTCAGAAGAAACTCATCCTGACAGTTATTTCAGCTCATATCAGACGTTTTGTTTTTTATATTATAGATTACAGATGCTTTTATTTTTTGTGCCCACTTTGTGTTTTGTTTTGCATGACTTAGTGCTTCTTCTGATCCAAGTGCTTCTTATCCTGTGCTGTGACCGGGACAGGGTCTCCTTAAGACTAGCTTGCCAATGATATAGCAGAGAATGTCATGTGACTGTTTTTAGATAATGCTTATTTGGGGCTTTTGACAATGTGAGCTCAGAGGTAGTCATAGCCGTGGCTGAGCGCTTGATTGTGTCATTCACTGCTGTTAGATTTATAAAAAGTTAAATCAGCCACAGTGGAGAAACTATATCATTCATAATTAGATGTGTCTCTGGATTTTGAAGTAGATCAATCACTCAGCTTTTTGAACTTTAACCTCTCTCTCTGGACTGTTAGCTGTTAAAGATTGTTGCTCAACCCCCCACCCCTACACAAAGCAGCCTCTTTCCTACTGACGTTAGGAAGTAAATCAGGCTTTGTATGTGGTTTCTGTTCTGAGGCCTTAACACAGCATGAGATGACCAGAGAGCGAGCAGTCCCTCCAACTAATCAGTTTTTACTGTTCCAGTCAAATATCACCAGATGGCTGTAGTGGCTTTGATTCTGGACTCGCTTCTCGGTCGGAAATCACCACCAGCTGCTACACAAACACTGGTCAGTTTTTAAGAGTACTCTTTATCCTCAGACTGCCAACAACTTTCATTCAAATACACATACAATCATTAAATGCTGTTATTAAAGTTTGTAAAATAGTGAGAATACTTCTTGACATAAAGCAGTGAACTGCCCGGCTACACTTGTTTTATTACTTCACAAGAATTGTGCAGCAGCAGATTGAACTTGTGGATAGGTAGATAATCAGAGATCATCACCTATATGAAATGGGTGCTACTGCTACAGTTTTATGTGTGTTTGAGGTTTTACATTTTATACCACCTGTCAGGTAAAATAACTTACTGTGACTGGCTCACAGGCCAGAACAAAGAAGGGAGACATATGCCTAACTTAACAATAATAAACAGAAATTTATGAAAGTAGGTAAAAATAATTAATAATAATAATTAGAAACTCAGTGAGGTGCAAAAGTAAGTCAGTTCAAGAGATGTATCAAAGTGTATGAATGCAATGGCTGATAATGAGGTTTATGTTGTCAATCTAAAACATCATACTGGCGTCTGGGCAGGCGGGCTTAAATAACACTGGCCAGATGTTCCCAGTTACTGCAATGGCACCTCAGCTACACCCAAACACACACTACACAGGACCAAGGCAAATGGCACTGGGTCCATCAAACTATAAATAAACAATAATGGAGAATCATTGCGTCATACTAACCTTCAGTGATTATTAAATTCTCGAACAGAAGCATAGCTCAACTTGTTAGCTTTTTCATTAATCATTGAGCTTTCTCAGGCACTTGACTCTCAGAGAAGTGAGCTTAATTATTTGAAGAAAGAGTCAATATTCTACCAATAAACACGATTGTGTGATACAATTGAAAGCTCCAGAACAGATACTGAGCGAAGCTTGTGGTGAGATACGTTTTCAGTCCCATCAGATCTGCTAGTTATTTCAGTAGCTTCCATGTTCATAGTTCACACGCCAAATACAGAACTTTGCCAAGTGTGCTAACAAAGCTTTTTTAGCCAGTTTAAAATAATAAATGTCAAACCTCAAACAGTCACAAACAGCAGTTACAAGAGGGAAAACTGCAGCTGTAAGCGTTGTAGCCCACAGGGGGCATGTCTCAGAGGGTCAAACGGTGAAGGTGGCAAAGTTCGGACTTACTGCATGTTGCACCTGTATTTCAGTACTGCTGACAACACTGAGCCTGGTTTAATTTGCTTTACATCACTGTCACTTTGTGTTCTCGTCCATAGGTTTTAGGTGAGGGTTCATGAAGTCTGTAGATTGCACGGTTCTGTTTATTATCTCCTCTGTCCCCTACTTCTGCAGTTTTCTCAGAGGGTATCAGTATAATGGTGCTCACAAACAGCGGCTCTTTGGCTCTGACCACCAAGGTTTAACTCAACCAGATTGTTTTTTTGGTGTGAGAAACATTTGCTAAACTGAAACTCACGGTCTGTGTGCGACTATAGCTTTCTCTTAGCAGAGGTGGGAGATAATACAAAACCATGTTTAAACCAATGTGGCATTTATGCAGTATTGATGCAGTCTGATTGATCAGGTTATTGGTGTAAATTGGTTACAGAGGAAGGCAACATGTTTTTACAGTGAGAAATGTAGGTCAAGTGAAACAGTTCCTCACTGTGGACAGTTGAGTCGTGTACAGATGCACACTAATGCTGAACTGGCTTCTTTGCATTTGATTGCATTGACACCTTTTATCCAAAGCATTAAGCCTTGTGGTTACTTTTTATTTTAATCTGGGTCTTATTGTTGTAGTTTTGGCAACATACATTCTTGAAACCACTAAAAACCTGCTTTATTTATCTTTATGACTAGCCAGTTATTAGGTACAGTACTAACTCTGTAAACTCACGTTCATTTAGATCTGTTGGCTTTTTAGTAGGGTTAAGATTGTAACCCGAGTGAGGCATAAATTAGCTTAGCATGGTTTAAATTTTTCTGTAAAGCGCTTAACAGTAAATACAGAAACAGTGAAATAGAGAAAGGTTTTGAACTTCAAATTTTGAGGTTTATGATTAATAATCATTACAGACCGTACATGAAACATACAACATTTAGAAATGTTTGTCTCTATGTTTAAACAATCGAAAGGGAAAACACAGTATCTACAAATATAATGTATGTTTATTCAGTTATCTTTTACATTTGAACTTATAACTAGTGTAATAAATTATTTGTTAATAAAATAAATGTTTAATATGTGTATTATAGGTAGCTTAAGCACAAGAAATCACGTGATTTTCACTGCAGTCAGAAGCTACAGAGATGGCAGTTAATTCTATTCTGCTAGCTAGGCTAGTTGACATTTTGCAGGACTAGTTTATCCGGTGTTCCTTTTTTCTCTCCATTATTATTTAAGAGCTGATGTTTTATTTATATGGAATAATAAGCTCAGTTACTAGATTTTGGAGCATCAAATTTGATTTTTCAATTCCAGGAAACCAGAAATTGGACAAACTGGCTTTAACTATCTCAGCAGCTAGCCCTAGTTAAGGCTAGCTGCTGAGAAACTGCTGTGACTGCTGGAGTGCAGTCACAGCAGTTTGGTTTTCCGCACTGTCTCATAATTCTTATGAATTTCCACCCCCAAAAAATATACAGTTGATGGTATAATAATTTCTGTGATAAGGAAAAATGTCAAAAAGTCAGATTCTGGTCTTAACTCAGTATGTAGTTACTGCATTTTTCCTTGTAGGGCAGCAGTCTCTACAGTAATGGTGACGCAAACATGCTACACTAGCCTATAGATATATATAACTTAGCCATGATGACTATGACAGAAAGACCCAGAGTGAAAAAAGAAACTAATTTTAAACAAATTTACATTTTAGTGTTGTCCTTCTCTTTCACCTGTGTAAGCACAGGCTACTGTAAACTTCATTTATTACGATGGAAAAGGATATTTTTACTCCGTCAGTTTGGTGACATGCTGAAAGCCCAACATTTCCCTCCTCATCTCTCTCTCTCTCTCTCTCTCTCTCTCTCTCTCTCTCTCTCTCTCTCTCTCTCTCTCTCTCTCTCTCTCTCTCTCTCTCTCTCTCTCTCTCTCTCTCTCTCTCTCTCTCTCTCTCTCTCTCTCTCTCTCTCTCTCTCTCTGTGTGTGTGTGAGTAGCAGATGTCACAGTTGCTGGTAATGGCTGACAATCAAATGGAGACATGCTGCGGCTGAAAGCATTGGTTTGGGGGGAGGGCTGCTGGAGACAGCAAAATTCAATCAATACAATCTAAAGGATCAACATTACTTTTTTTTTATTTGACCCTGAGACCTCTTGGCCCCAGAGACAACATTTAAGCACCTGCCCCCTTAAATGGATCTGTGTTTATCGTAGATCTATCGACAGGCTCTGTGAGATATTTGCATTTGAACAGTGGAGGAACTGCAGCACTCTCTCTCTGTTTCAGTGCGTTCACAGCAGCATCTCAGGGAAGGTCGGCATCTTTTTAATTGCGTGGTACACAATCAAGTGACGTTATGACAACACTGTATACCTCCAAACAATAACATCCCTTCAACCACAGTAAAACCCCGTTTCTACCTCAAGAACAAAAGCTTTTGGCAGATTTCTTTGCTTCAGCCACAACAGAAGCCTGTTGAAGGTTTGTGCAAGAAAACCTCATCAAAATGTTGTTGACGCTGGTTTATAAAGACTTAAAGACACTCTTATGAAAGAGATTGTATTGACCACAGACAATCAGAAATCTGCTTAAAATTGTGACTAATCAATTTAAGTTGAGCAAGGGGATCCAGAGCTGTCAGTATAGTTGAGGATTCAGTCCAAGTTTCAACCTCTTTACTAAGAGCTCCCCTCAGTGGAAGGTTTTGTTATGACAACACAAAAGGGTGTCTGACCCAAGGCGGCAAAGATTCAATGTCCTTCAGTTTGACAATTTACTGCAAAAAAAATACATATTTCCATGTCTTGGTTTTCTTCCAGAGTTTCAACCTTGTTGAGGTGACAAAGCTTCTGAAACAGCATTTAGAATCTGTAGCTCATCAAGGCATTCAATTAATTCACTTAAAGAATTAGTCTACTCATTAAAAACACAGCAAACAATCAATGATTAAATATCCTGTCTTGCATGTTTCTCTGTAGCTTTGGTCAGTCACCTACCTACATATTTGATATCTGATATTTTAAGAAACATTGAAACGATCAGTCTTAACGCTGTAGCGGAGTTTCTAGCAGATTTTGGTTCAGACTGGTATTTTTTTCTGAATGCTACCAGCTGCATGTCTGTGTCTGTGTGTTTGCTGCCGCTTTCACTCGTAGAACGTGCAAGTGATGACCATGCAGTTGTTGGCTTTATTTGTTCGTCAAAGGTACATCATTGTTGTTTGCAGTTAAAAGCTTGGATTGATTTTAAAAGTCTGCTGGTTTGGTGCATTCGTGTGCTGTTGTATTTATCGGAACAATGACTTAGCTGGACTCTATTAATCGCATTCTTAGTGAAAAATGCATTTTGTTTGTCTCTGAGTTTGATTTCCCGACAAATGTAGATTGTAAGTCTGGGAAGTCACAGCTTTCAATCAGCACAAACCCTCTGCGTCTCTCTTGGTTGGCTTGCTCGCTCTATGTCACAATGTCATAACATAAGAAAGTCATACGTTTCAAGCATTTTACCTTGAAATATTGCTGCTTTTACTCCCACCACAGCCATAGCTGAAGTACCTTTTGAAATCTTGTCCAGAGTGTCTTGTAGAGAAATTACTCTGACTCTTGTTCCCCACATGTTGACGACATGGAAATTCTGCTGCAACATTGACTGCTTACGGTGCATGTGGGTTTGGGGCTTTTGACTGGACTTCACCACTGACTTTACCTCCATCAGGAGGACTGTGGATAAGGAAAATGATGATGAGAAATAACAAGATGCCTTCTGCTGTGACAATGTTGTATGAATTAACCTGTATTACTAAGATTCATTAAATTGAATATTTCTGAACTATGGCTGTTTAGGGCTGTGAACTGTATCATGTTTATATTGTTTGTTTTGATTTATTTTTTTGCTTTTCTTTCTTTTTTTCCTCTGGATTTGCTGTAGCAACACCCGCACACGGAGATTACATTTAGAGCAGTTTTATAAATATGGCGATGATGATGATGTCATTATTTTAGGAAAGCATGTGATGTTTGTGGGGGCTTCACGTGTCTAACTTCAGAATTGAAACAAGGCTCTTGTCTTTTACAACTTCTCAGGAAAATCTACCTCTACCTCCAGTTTGATGCATTTAACCCAGTGAGGACTCAAGTTACAGTTTAGTGGGTACACAAAGAGGGCGGACACCAGGGTCCGAAATGAACTTCAACATACCAGTAACGTACTTTATAGATTAATTATAATCTCATGACACACATGAGATTGTATTGAAAATAATTATTGTGGTGTATTATATCATTATCTTGGCTGGAAAAAAAATAAAAATATATATATATTTGTCACCCTGGTAGGTGAACTGAGAGGTTAATTTTGGACACTGGGGTGGCTTTCTGTCTCTGTGTTTTCACTCTCTGTGTTACAGGCATCGTAACTCTTCTGCTGTTTAGTTTATTTGATGAGCAGCATCAGCTACAGCGAACCTACAGCTAACTACTACTAGTACAAGTACTGCTTCTAGTGTCACTGTTAGTACTGCGAGTTGTCTTTTTTTCAGTCAGTTCTATTCATGTGTGCTTACTCCGCCTTTTTCTAGAAATTATTAAATTTTTTGATGAATGGGATGTTTCCTGGTCCACGGTAACAGTGAAGTGGCGGCGGGCAATGCAACTGGTTGGTGTTTTTATTTTTTCGTTTTTGAAGGTTGGAGAGCTATTCTTGCCTATTTACTCTGTGTTTGTGTGAATACTTTTATTTTGAATCTGAAATTAATAAAATATCACCTTTCTTAAATGTCACCAGAGCTTTGAATGTTTTTTTTATGTATACTAAAATGAGCTGTTTATCAGCGTAATCAAAAATGATATGTTCCTTCCCTTTTAATTAACCACATCTTTAATGGAAATGTGTTAATTATGTACTCATCAACATTGATAATGGCATGAAAAAGCCTTTTCACAAATTTCTTAAGTTTAGATCATCAGAATCAGAATCAGAAGGAGCTTTATTGCCAAGTAGTGTTTACACATACGAGGAATTTGCTGTGGTGATAAGGTGCTACACAAACATACAGTCAACATAAATAAATGTATAAATGTCACTTTATCAAATAAGGTTTACTTTTATATGAAGTAAAATTTGTTGCTAATACTTATAGTACTTAAGTATATTTACTTACTTAAGTATATTTACTTAAGTAAAGTTTTGAATACAGGACTTTCACTTTAACTTGAGTGTATTTGAAGTGGGATTTTGCTAAATTGCAGTGGTGGAAGAAGTACATTGATCTTTTAAAAGTATACCACAGTGCAGAAATAGTCTGTCAGTCCAGTCATAGTCATGCATCAAATTTTTAAGGAAAAGTACAAAAGTATTAGCATTAAACTATATTTAAGTACTTAAGTAGTATGCATTCATTTGTTTATCACTCTAATGTTGCAGCTAGTGAAAACTGAGCTAATTTTAATTACTTTATCTACAGCTGGGTAGCTTTTGAAATTCCCCCTCGATCAATAATCTTATCTTATTACAATCATCAGAATTTATTGATTTTATTTGGTATAACTAATTTTCAAATTAACTAGTAATTAAAGTGATCTAATATGTGTAGTGGAGTAAAAAATACAATATTGGCTTTTGAATTGTAATGGAATAGAAGTAGCAAAAGATGTAGTAGCGGAAAATAGAAATACTCAAGTACAGTTCCTCAAAATTATACAGTACTTGAGTAAATGAACTTAGTTACTAGCTGCTGCTAAGTTGTTTTACTTTTTCCACCAGTTAAAAGTATCCTTCCGATTTGCCTACTTTTCCTTCACAGTATACTACAATGTAAAGTAAAGTGACAATATTTACTGGAAATTTCCAGAAAAATTTTACTTTCTTATTTACTGGAAATTTCTGTTTTTGTGGAGTCAGATCAATTGCTAAAATTTAGACACCAATTTTTTTGTCTTCTTTTCTCCTTTTTCTTTTTTGTCTAATTTGTGTGTAGTATTTTTGGCTGGCATTTTTTTCACAACATGTCATTCAGCTATAATGTTTTGGGGGAAAAAACGAGTCTTTGATGGAAAACTGCATTTTTCTGTGTTGGTCTATATCAGACATAATCATCCTGAAACGTGACTCCCAGCTCATGTTGACGCTGGAGTTTTCGGAAGCACCGCCCAATAGCAGTGTCCGCAGTGGTGAACCTATCGCACCCCGGCAGATTTAAACACACAAACTGATTCGAGAAGACACGGGGACGAGAGGGGCGGAGTTACACCGACTCTCCGAGACTAATGTGGTTGGGGCGGGAGAAAAAAAAAACAAGTAAGCATCGGACTCAAAGCGACTTCCTTTAATACAGTGGAGGAGTTTTGTACGTAGATGTTAACAAGTCCCATTTAAAGAGGAAAAATGAGACTAAGGTCTCAAAAAACCGTTAACGTTACAGCGTGTTCGGAGACGCCGAGGAGGACCAACCGCCGACTGTCCAACAAGACAACGCCGAGATCGACGCGCCTATCCGTGACCGAAAGCCCACTTTTAACAAAGGTAACACATCTTGATAAGATTACTTTCTTAGTCGGTCGCCGTGTAATGGCCTCGTTAATGCAAGTGGCACCAGTAAACATTGTGTTCCGCGGCCAGGATCATAAGTAATCGTTGCCGTAATCTGATGCTAAGCTAGTTAGGTAGACGTTGGTTAGCCAGTGTTCTCATAACAAAACATTAGACGGCGTTGCTAACTGTTGTTAGCTAGCTGGACGATAGGTGATTTGATCTTGATCAACCACACTTCGACGTTATTTAAATAAAGCATCGGTGCACCCATATGGCCGCTGCGGGGGTGTAGCGTTAGTTTGTTCATTATTTTGAGATGGGGTGATAAGTTAGTTTTAGTTGCCAGTTTATTATCTACACTTAGCTAAATACCAACGCAGCTAACAGCAGCCATGCAGGAAATCCTTCACCACAACAACAATGAAGGTTATAATGTTCAAGTTTTTTTTTTTTTTTAACTGTCTGAGAGGGGTTTGTTCTAGAGCTGAACGTTTAATCGATTAACTAGTTGTCGACTATTAAATTAATTTGTCAACTATTTGGATAATCGATTTAATCAGTTTGAGTCATTTTTAAAAGACAAATGATCTGATTCCAGCTTCATAAATGTGAATATTTTCTGATTTCTTTGCTCCTCTATTACAGTAACTTAAATTGAATGTCTTTGGGTTGTGGACAAAATAAGACATTTGACGACGCCCTCTTGAGCTTTGGAAAACACTGATCAACATTTTTCACAATAATCAACAGATAAATGACAATGAAAATAATCCTTAGTTGCAGCCCTAATTGATTCAACTTAATATTAATTTTCTATTGCTTTAGAGGAGCTTCTTCCTTCAGACTAAACTAGGATGGACAAATGTATATGTTATTTTCTTAAATGCCATGTTGCGTTTTACTGTGCCATCCCTAGTGTAACTAAATTTCTAGTGCAGTGACCCACTTTATCTTGTGGTAGCTCTGTATTACTCACACTCAACACACTGAGTAAGTCATTAATGCCTGTGAGTAAGCTTCAGCTTTCAGCTGCAATTTGACAGTATTTTCATCAGCATCAGAATGCTGCGCAATATGGTAAAAAGTCATATTATTGTTATGTTGACAGATATTACCATTTGTGATATGATTCACAGTTAGTGGGAATGATCATTTTTACATCAACTTTTTTATTTTCACTAAAAACACTATTAAAATCATGATAATGTGACATTTGTTGGGGTCTATACCAAACAAACATGTTTTCTTAGATCTGGAGATTGAGATTTGTTGGCCGGGGCGTCTGTGCAGCAGTACAGTACTGTTGTTCTTTTGTCATATATTTGACCATCAAAAAATTGCACATGGCCATATAGCGATTTAAATCATATTTTTTGATTAATTATGCAGCTCTACATTGAACAAAGCAAACCAGCCCTCTCAACCCTTGGCTATAAATCCTTTGTCAATGTAGTCAATGATTCTTATATACATATGGTCTGTGATGTTTACAACATATAGACATCACCAGACCTGAGTGTGTTCCTTGTGATGCTCTGCCAGAGTTATATCCCTGTACAGTGTTGTAAGGTTCAGACATGCAGCTCTGTGACGTGTTTTCTGACAGTGGACTGATGCAGCAGCAGAGGATTAAACAGCCCAGTTGCATGTGAGAGAGGGGCCCAGTAAAGTAGGTCACCAGGGCACATGCATGCAGACTGTTTACACTTTAGACTGCAGGAATGTATACTTGCTCTCTTGAGTAATTTTGCCTATGGCTTAATACTATGTTTATAATATATGTACTATATTATGATTTCCCATGCATTATTGACACACTTACCATTACAGTACTTTGTTGGCAATAGAAGTTATTTTATGAAGCTTTTCTTTACTATAGACTAGCGTCAGGCCGATAGACAATCGGCGATGGCTGGCAGACATGACAATGTTGAGCCAGAATTGTGAAGCCTCCCACTCCCTCGCAAAAAATCTAAAATAATTTCAGGTTTTAATCCCCACAAACATTACCATATACCTGTACAAGCAGCTACACCTCTGGTCTGTCACTGCAAAGGCGCCAGCTTGCCCTGCCTCTCTCTTTCTCTCTCGGCCACCCTTTCTTTTTTCCATCAGCAGTATGTTTTAAAAAGTCACCCAAAAGACACTGAACTCGTCTTTTTTCTGGAGTTTTCCACCTGCCATCCGTTATCATGGTAGCAGGTGCACCACATGCCGACTTGTTAATGACGTAGTCTACCAAGGTTTTTACAGAGTGAAGTCTATGTAAGTGAACATGTGCCTTTTTATAAGACGACTGCTTTCAGTTGCACATATATTTGTATGTATTTTTAATGATAAGACTTACTTATTAGTGAAATAGGCCTAGTAGGACATCATTGGCATGAAAGATGTCTTAGGGCAACACTTGTGGTGGTTTTCGGTATTTTGGTCTGCACACATCTAGACAATTGCATCTCTTGGTTTTCATCAGTTTGACATCACAGGTTGAAACAGATCTGAATATGATTTGAATCATACCTCAACAGCGATATGGAGATCAGCTTCTTTCTCAAACTGACAACTATAAATCATTTTGAAAATAGTATTTTGGTTACCTTAATATGATACAATAAGCACACACATGTCCTGACCCTAATCCTGTTTAAATGTCATAGTGAGATGTATTCTTCATCACGATTTGACATTCAAATGCACTGGTGAGATGTTGCTATTATTTTTTTACTTTTATAATGACTTTTTTGTGTGTTTTTACTGTGCAGAGTGAAGAGACCTTGGATCATGACTCCCATCACTCGGATGACGAAATTCCCACAATGGCGAGGAGACCACTGCTCCGTGGCCGGGCAAGGAAGAGGGCTATCGCTGTTGATGACAGAGATGCTGGTGTGTTTGCCAGCTTTCAATTATTCTCAAGGATGCTTTTAATATATTTTAACATTTATGTATGTCCTGAATATGAATGCACTTGTTTTTGTGTTGTTTTTTCCACTGATTGTCTTCTTGTGCTCTAGATTTGGCCTTCAAGACTCCGATCAGGTCCATCATGCGCCGTGAGCACATACTGTCGGAGATCAACACGGTGTCTCCTCATAACACAACATCCAGAAACATCTACTCGCCCATCGTGCGTTTCCTCACACCCAGCAAAGAGAGTGAGTACAGTTACCGTCTGCACACTGTCTTCTATATAGGGCTTGTACTGCCTTAAACACTCACCAACAACCCTTCCAGATATTTGATTTAATTATGTGGTGTGTGACATTAAAAATGTACTCCGTCCAAGAGGGGTTTTTTGTGTTATGATGAAAGTGCCTGGTGGAGTGAACTCGCTTACCAGCCACAATATAAATGTAGCGGCATCTTTCTGGTGGCTTGTGGTAAATTCCCACCCTGGGCGCATCAAATAGAAAGAACATCATAAGCCTTTTAAACTGCTTGGAAGGGCTTAATGTGGTGAGCTGCTGGAGGACTCAGTGTCCTGTCATAATTCTGATCCAGTGTGAGTCGTTACGGTTTCCTTCTGGAAAAAGGCAGAAACAATGTTGACGCTATAAACAGCTTTAGTAAATGAGTCTCGCCATTTTGTTTTGTGCAGAATGTGAGAGGCTTCAGCTGCATCTGTGGTCAGGTGCAGCTACAACATTTGAAGAGAAATAAACATTTCATTTTCCATTTTAGGTCATTCCTTTGATATTAGGTTTTGTTGTTTTATGTTAGATAGAAGTGTCCATTAATATTGGGAAAAGAGTCTCTCATCATTACAACAATTTTTACATGTATATGGCACGCTTTTGCTAGATTTCTGTTCTGTGCAAATTAGGTTTGGGTCTGACAGACATCAAAACTTTAAAACCCCCTGCCTCTCTCTCCCCCTGTCTGCTCCATTTTCTCCATCAGCAGTATGTTTTATAAAGTTGCCTAAAAGACTGAGAACTATTTCCCCCCATACGTTTCCACCCACAATCCGTTATCACGCCAGCAGATGAGCCGCACGTCGGCTTATTAATGACGCAGCCTATCAAACGACTGAAACCAACATCTGCACCCTATGTGTTCACTGCTGCTTTACCTGGTCCATGCGTTAAATATCCACTGCAACTTGTAACGTAAGTTAATAGTCTACCGACATAAGACGACTGCTGCCCCCCTACCCCACGCGCGCCTGTGCACCCGATGATATCGTCCATCCTGATGTTTCATTGTAGACATCATCTGATGGAAATTTTATAGACATCGCCCAACCCTAGTGGAAATTTATTGTTCATTTAAGGAAAATCCGATTGGCATTTAATGACTGTGCCTAAGCATTAGGTTTCCGTGGTACTCGGAGATCAACAGACCCGTGCTGTTTACAGTTTGTACATTTTTCTTTTCTGTTTTCAGATGTGAAGTGCCCACACACCGGAAACAGTGTGTTGATGAGCCCAGAACAAGGTGTATTTGGGTTGGGCTCCATTGACCTTCTGGCTGGAGATGAGGAAGATGACGTCTTCAATCCGTAAGTATTAACCCACTTTCAGATATGCACCGATACAATTCTGAATCAGTTCAAAGAATCCAAAAGGTGCTTCTTTTTTAGTACGCTGATTATAAAGTTACCTTGATGAAGTGATTGGCTTTTTTTTTGTCCCCCAGACAGACCATCTTTTGTTTTACAAAAGATATTTAGAAAGTGATTTTGTTAAATCACACTTTAATTTTGTTATTCTCGTACAGGCAGAAGACTAACATGCTTTCAAATTATCACAATAAACTCTTTAGATCGAAAAGCTGCCTACACTCACTCACACTTTTTCTTCTTCTTTTTGGTCTGACAGTGGCCTTCATCTAGACCCTTGAGCTTAACTGCCAAGTTAATGGTTTGGCAAACCGTAAACTGGAGTAAATATAAACACTGCCTCCTTTTGTATCTTATGAATTGGATGAGAATTCCCACCCCTACTAGATATGTTTTTATATACTTTTTCGTATACTGGCTGGCTACAAGTCCAGATGACCTAGTATTTAAAATAAAAATGTTAGTTTTCTAACTTGAGTGATGCTTTTTTGATTGAATTGCCGAAGCTCATCACTTATTCCCTGTTTGACGTTCTTTTGTACATAACACTCCTGGCGTATGTTAGGGACTTTCTATTCTAAGAGCGTTATTTTCTCTTCCAGCTTTACCTTCATCAAGAACATACCATCACAGTCTCAGCATTCCCGACCCCAACTGAGAGACATTCCACCGAAGACAAGGAGCACTCCAGAGGCCACGCTGGTGGTCGACCTGGTGAGTTTAATCCCTCTGTAATTTCCTGCTCTCACACATGGGCACAACAATTCAGATACATGAATAGCCAACATGGAACTTAACCATTGACTCTGAATTACTCTTAACTCAAGCGCTGACTTGTGTAGACTTAGGATAGCCAAGGATCCCAGAATGCATTTCACACCATCCAGTAGTGATGGCATAGATTTTGAGCCTGTTTTTAAAGCTGCTATCATTTTCATCTGAGGGCGGCTACGTAGGGCTGTCGCGATAACACTGATAAAATTTAAATACCGCGCTACTGGTCAAGCCTACCGCAGAGGATGGCAACAAATTAATAAATTAGTGCTTCAGAAATTCCACAACCATAAAGAGCTATTTAACGGTTCAAGGACGGATTATCATGGGCTGTACGTGATCCAACTTCAAACTTGGAAGTGTTGCCGTGTTTTGTGTTGTTTTACTGTTTATTTTAAAGGTTAGTTAACTTGGTGTTCGCATATTGCACGGCTAATGTGGCTAGCAGGCTCGGCGATGTTGGACTAACGTAATCCTGAGGGACAGTCGAAAAACTGTGAACAGTAAGCCTCATTTGAAGCTCACGGACTAACAAGCATAGTGTGTCGGATGCCTGCAGCTGTTTGTCATTTTGCTTTCTGTGGAAATTTAGTTATAACGTTACTACAGCACAGTGGTTAGTTGTGGACAGCCCATTCTGCTCCACACCGGTGTATTGTGCGTTGCTGCAGTATGTAAATTGACTTGATTGACATGCCCTGAAGGTAAAGATATAGGTAATGTTACGTGTGGAAAAAGACACAGTTAAACTACAAAAATGAGTTTGCTTGGCAATGTTGTTGAAGAGCACCCAGCAGCTAGCTTGCTCCGACCATAAAGCTGCTGTCAGTGGCTCGCTGTGTAGTGAGCTGAGGCCACACACACTCTTATTATGCTATATACCACCTAATTACTTCACTGATGGAAAATGCAATACTACCGCATATGTTGAGCCCCAACATATTGTCGCGGTGGAAATTACTTTATTTTTACAACTGAACTCTGGCACAATCTTAGAATAAAAGCTCTTTATGAACTCACACTCCTGCCCTGCAGTGTGACGGGTACTGTCTTCTCCATAATAGAGCTCTGAATTAAGCAACAGCAAATAAGAACAACTCAACCAAAAAGGCAAGATTTAAGACAGATGACTGAAAACAAAACAACCTCTATGTTTGAGCCTAGCTCAGGAAAACAATATGCAGCTATTGTGAGGCAATCAAACTCAGGAGTCTGGACCTACGAGGAGCAATAGGGACCGTGGCATTCTTGCTGACACCACCAGCTCTGCTTGACATCGGCTCTGGTGATTACACTGCAACACAACTCTACCATACTGCACTGTGGCAAAATAATCTCAACTCAAAGCTCCTCTAACAGATTTTTTCAGCTTCTGTTAATTTTTATTGAAGTTTGGTGATCTGTAAATGTAAGTAGCCCAAAGTCCACAGAGGCGCCGCAGTCCAAGAAAAACATGAACATTACGTTCAGACAAACTCATGTAACAGCAATATTAAAAGATTATACTTAATCTCTGATACCAAAATAAATCTTCCAAAAATCATTATATCATATATTAATACTCTACAGAGATATCAGAGCCAACAGTAAATTACATAAAGGAGTTAGGACTGATTTCCACCCGGGAGCTGGGCAGCTAGCTGACAAGATGTCCCAACACATTTCCAAACCGGCATTACTTGGATTCATCAGCCACATACTGATATCTTAAATGTTACTTTCTCGTCTGAAAAACAAAACTTAAGTGACGTAGCAGTAGGGCTGTCATGGTGAAGTAATTTCTCCCACAGTAATAAGTTGGGGCTCAACAGCACGGTATGCGGTGTTATCGTATTTTCCATCAGTGAAGTAATTAGGTGGTATATAGCATAATAAGAATGTCTATGGCCTCACCTCAATGCACAGCAAGCCACTAACAGCAGCTTTATGGTCGGAGCAAGCTAGCTGCTGCATGCTAGTCAACAACATTGCCAAGCAAACTCATTTTTGTATTTTGACTATGTCTTTTTCAGACTTAGCTATATCATTACCTTCGGGGCATGTCTATCAAGTCAATTTACATACCACAGCAACGCACACGCGCGCACACAGTCACGCGTACCAGTGTGGAGCAGAATGGCTGTCCACAACTAACTACTGCGCTGTAGTAACGTTATAACTAAATTTCCACAAAAAGCAACATCAAAAACAGCTGCAGGCTTCCGACACACAACACTACCTTAGTTAGTGAGATTCAAATGAGGCTTACTGTCCACAGTTTCTCCGGACTGTCCCTCAGGATTACGTTAGTCCAACATCGCCGAGCGTGCTAGCCACATTAGCCGCGCAATATGCTAACACCAAGTTAGCTAACCTTTAAAATAAACAGTAAAACAACACAAAACACAGCAACACTTACAGCTTCAGACTTGAAGTCGGGTCACGTACAGCCCATGGCGATCCTTCCTTGAACAGTTACAAAGCTTGTTACGGTTGTGGAACTTTTGAAGCACTAATTTATTAATTTAACACGCCCTGAAGTGTATGAACTTTGCAGTTGTTGCGGTGCTTGCTATCCTCCGCGGTAGGCTTGACCAATAGCACGGTATTTCAAATTTGCGGTTATCGCGACAGCCCTAGTCGGAAACATGTTAGAAGTCTTTTCGGTTCATTTTGAAACTATGGCAGAACAAATTAGACTGTGGCGGGCCGCCATAGTCTCGTTAATTAATGGGAATTTATTTGTGTATAAAAATCTAAGTCACATTGTCCTTCCAGGAGGAAACCCTGATGTTCAGCTCTCTCAATGTGATCGAGGATGCAGAGTACACCTTCCACACTGCTTTCCAAGACCATCAGTACAAGGTAACCACTCACTGTATGTTTTTGTCTTCAAACCTGTTTTTGAATCTGAGGCACACTGAGCAGATGACTGCAGATGGTGAAAAGAGTCAAAAGAGAATGTAAGAATCACTTAATTGTGTTTTGTCATCTTCAGTGAGGGATATCAGCAGGCGATATAAAGAAATATAGTCTTAATGTGGAGAAGTGCCAGAACTAACAAAAATACTGGTGGGATACCATGGCATTCATCTCCATCATTAATCATTATGCATTTAAATCAGGCGTTTTAGCATGTTGAGCCCATTAACATCAAACAGATTTTTATTTTCCTCCTTAAATCTTTATTACAAAAAGAGGAGAAGGGAATTGTACATGGCACATAAAGAAGTATATAGAACAGTATACAAAAATAAAAGTCACAAATAATAAAATAAAAACTGTTATATAAAGATATTAAAAGAGGACCCTATGTTGACAGTTTTCACAGCCTTTTTATTGCTGGATTTAGAAATAAAATTTTATATAATGTACAACCACATGGAGAAAAAGTTCTTTTTTTTAATTGCTGAGTAACAGCCGATAAAAGAGAGACGAATCCTTAAATCATGTTATGAGTGTTGTCGTTACATAGTTTCACCACCAGAGTGCCCCTGTTGGCAACACAAGTGCTTGAACGCCACAAATCCACCAGAAACGCAGCAATCAACTGTAGTTTTGTTCAAACTACTATTTTTAAACTGCATTACGTCATGTTATCTTGGTGAGGTCTCATAACTACACATTACAGATGTTAAGGATAATCTTTGTTTACGTTATGTGTTTCTCAGAAGGGGGGGGGGGGGGGGGGGGGTATATCTATAAATATCTACTGATATACTTCCAACCTTTCCAGGTGTCACATGTAAACAAAAAACACGGCTGACAAAATGACGTTTCTTGTGTACACACAGTTGAACTGTCAGCAGTGCCCTTGGTGTTGCTTTGCTGTGTTTTTTTTAAGCAACATAAAGCTCACTCTGGCCTGCGCTCTTTCAAACGGGTAAACATTTTGGCTTCCTGGAAAAACCATGACCATGAGAAACACTGAACACACAATCTGGACTTTTGCATTTTAGAAAACAGAGTAGGGGCAGTAGTCTTGAAACGCAAATATTTTGCTTACTACCTACCTACTTTTTCTTTTTTGCATCCCGAACTTGAAATTAAAATTCCATGATCCAAGAGTAGGAACTGGAAAATGGTAGGGAGTAACAAAGCTCACATGATTTGTAGTCATTGGCACAAACTATGAAAAACCACAAGAATAATTCACTCTGGAAAGTCTTTCATGTAACTGCTATAACAACAAAAAACATTATTACTGTAAACTCATTCAGCTTGAACTGTGCCTACTATCCAGAGAGACACAGGAAAGGCACATTTTAGACATAAATTGGAATCTGAGGTAAAGCATAAATTAAATAAACTATCAATTTGATCGTTCTAGATAAATGAATAGGAACTGAGGATATTTAAAGTCTCTGCGCCCTTCTAATCAACAGGTGTACATGATCCTACGACCGCATGTCAAGGAGTTTCTGCAGTCCATGGCAAAAATCTACGAGGTATGTAAACTGATATTAAATTGTCAGGACGTTTATTGGTGCAGTTGGCTCTAGACATGTGCTGGCTACAGTCTGTTTTTAGTGAGGTAAACGTTATCATTGATATGTTTTATTTTGTCATATTGTAAGCTTGTCTGAATGTCTACCTCTTCCCCGTTTATTTTGATTTTATTCATCTGAACCAATTACTTCCCATTATTTTAACAAAAAATTTCTTTGTATATAAAATTAAATGCAGTTTTTTGTGGTGTCTTGATGCCCCTTACAGTTCTGGTCCCAGCTGCTGTTTGTGTTCTGTTACAGCTGTTTGTTTACACATGTGCAAAGAAGGAATACGCTGAGAAGATACTGAACATCCTGGACCCGCAAAGAAAACTATTTCGGTATGTCTCCTTAAGATCTGCGTCCACTTGTGTTTCATAAACTCTTTGCTTGACCGCAGAGACGAGCACTCTGTCAGGTTTATCAGACTCAGCCAGCGTCTGTTAGCCTGCTGCTGTCCCGTCTGGCCAGCACACTGACCTCTGGACGCTGCTCGGAAATGTGAAATGGTCTGTTGGTGGTCGGACCATTAGCTGGTCACGATGATGTGTTTATGTCATATGGTGAGGACAGTAGACATTGGTTTTCCTTGTGGCTTCAGGTGGTTAATATCACATAGAAGAAGTGATGGAAAGATGAACAGACAATGCATCAGAAAACCAACATAAGAGTCAGATCAATAAAGGGCCCCTGAAATTCAGAAGAAAGCGCATCAGTGTGTGAGCTTCTGTTTTTTAAACCATTCACCACATCCCCACACCGAAAGAAATCTCGGACTACGTACAATGCACTGTATCATAGAAATTTCCTTAAACCTCGGTACTCACTAACATCAGCTATAATCTATAATTTTATAATAATGACAAGCTTGCTCGCAGTGGTGAACCTTTACAGGATTATCAGCTAAATCGGCAGCACCCTTCAGCTTTACCCATCTTTATAACAAGTTTCAGCTTTTCGTATAGCTGTCTATCCACAACAGCACTGTTTTGTTTCACTCTGTAGCATAGTTTTTGGTACAAAAGCTGTAAAACCCATTGTACAGTACCTGCCCAGCACCAAAGAACAGACAAACGAAGTTAGCATCTAGCTGGCGAACACAGTGGAGCATTTAGCAGCTAAAGAGACAGATAAGTCCCTCAGGAGTTGGTGGAGACCAAAAGAGTGAATGTTAGATTTACGTTCAACAGGTGGACTGAACATAACTCCAAATGAATAATGTTTCTCCATAACAGCTGAATGTGTAAATAAGAAATGAGGTTTTAACACTTTTTTAAAAGAAATTTAAACACTTAATTCATGTGGCATGTGACAAAGCAAAATGTAACAGAAGATAATGCAGTACGGCTTTCAGGAGTTCTGTGCTGCTTTCAGAAGTCTCACTGCTCATTACTCTGCTGTGCATTACTTTATTGCTCCGCTGGTAATATCCCCTTCAGACCGTTGGACCAAAATAGTTTGGGACTGCATGTTAGGATGATTGACGAGGTGGAGAACAAAACACCGACAAAGTGCAGCTCAGTCCCAAGTTGCACCAAGTTTTTAGATGTTGATATTCTACCAGCTACGTTACCACTTGTCACACTGTCTGGACTCACAGCGCAAGAGCAGGTGTTACATCAGCTGGGCGGAGTTGATTAGCTCCGCAAGTCGACGTTGTTTTACATGCATTTGTTTTTCACTGTGTGAGAAAATTGTGTGGCGTGAGAGCGTGTGAATGATACTCAGTGATACTCTTGATTCACAGGAACAGGTGTAAATGTTTAAACATGTTGTTTCTCCTCATAGACACCGTCTGTATCAGGATGACTGTGCCTGCGTTCTTGGCCACTACATCAAAGATCTCAACATCCTGGGTAGGGATCTCACCAAGACGGTCGTCCTGGACAACGCACCCCACACATACCCGTACCATGTAAGCACTGCGGAGCTTTGATTTTAGATGTCAGTTTAAAATAAAATTTGCATTGCTTTTAAAGAATAGAGGTAGTCATAGTCTATAGTTTTGTTGTCATCATCAGCAAATCCCATGAAAAGACCAAAACGAAGTACATGTTGGTATTTTCTGATTTCCCTATCGGTCTTTGGCTCTCAGGCCTGAGCCCACTGCCGTTTACTGAAGACGTTAACTTTTAAAACATGGGACACAAATATATGTAGTTTAATTTTTGAAGGTTTAAATGTTATTTCTTAAAAGAGCTGGGAATTTGGGACATAAGTAAAATTCCTCCATATTGTCTCGCAGTTGAACAGTGAAACAAACAGAAAAAATACTTTTATTCATTAGATTTTTTGATGTTTTGCAGCTGATGAACACAATTCCCATCAAGAGCTGGTCCGGGGAGTCTGAGGACAGAGAGCTCCAGAAGCTCATCCCCTCCATGGAGAAACTGTCTACAGCGGTACGTCAGGCATATTATCAGCTTCTGTGATTATTACATGTTGTTTTTGCTGTGTGCCCTTTTCCTAAAATTCACCTTAGGGTTCATCGAAGAAAAGAGGACACAGATATTGTCCCGTAGTTAGGGGTGTAACAAGTAACCAACCGTGATGGGTTAAAGGCATCGTCTGCCTCAGTGGCTTGTTTGATACCAACACTAGGAGCCGCCAAAGTTGGAAATGTTTAGATCCTATAAGTGGGGGATTTAAAGAAAGATTAAAATTTTTACAAGTAAAATGTGTGGAGGATCATTGGTCAGAATAAACAAGACATTTGATGACACATCTTGTGCTGGAGGATATTGTGATGGACGTTTTTCGTTGTTGTTTTTTATGTTAAATTTATTGATGAGGGGCAATTATTAATTTCATTAATCGATAAATCTTTTTGTCAATAAATTGTAAGAAATGTCTGTTCTAATTTCCCACAGCCCAAGGTGGCGTCTTCAAATGTCTTGTTTGGTCCAGCTAAAGGTGTCATTTATGCCGAATAATGCTGGAACCCACAAATGTTTGGCAAATAATCTACAGAATAATCGATAATAAAAGTAGTCGGTTGCAGTGCTACAGATTTAAAATGTGGGAGAAAGACGGGTATCAGATCGATAATTGGCCTAAGTTAGGAAATCTGGAAGGGTAGCATCCCTAAAAATGTACATATGTATTGAAAAGAAAGTATTTAAGTGTTAAAGAATCTATCAATTAATATGCAGAACTTGTTGGAGTTCTGTTGTTTTTGAAGCGTGATCCAGATTGTTTACATCGGTTTAATTCTCATAGTCCTGATCAGTGCAGATGTTCCTGTGGTTTACCAGACAGTCAGTGTGAATAAAACAGCTGGTTATCGGCAGCAGCATCTGCCTGCTGTCTTTCCTCCCCCGGTTTCAGCGTTCAGTCCGAATATCTCCCGTTGTGTTTTTTCAGGAGGATTTTCGGGAGGTGCTGAAGAAGAGGAAGGATCACTTCCACCGGCTGCTTTCAGAGGACTAACAGGACTTCCCAACCCCCCTTCCTCACTTTAACTACATTGTGACTTTGACAGCTCGTATTTGCTTTCTTTATGCTTTGGATAAAAGCAGAAACCAGTTGGACCTCGCTAACCTGAAGCCTTTTGGTTTGTAGCGGACCTGCTCGCTCTCCTCTGTCCTCCCTGATGACCTAAAAGGACGACAGATCGGTATTTCAAACATGATGCTGGTCGTTTGTCACCACAAAACCCCATTTCTCCGAGACCCATTCCACAGGGCAGTAAACTGCTACCCAGTGTTTGTGTATATTTACAAGACGAAACTTGAAATGTGTTTATAGATTTTTTTTTTTAATTTATTGATTATATTGCTAATCAACTGCTATCCTCTGTATATTTTACATATTCTTTTTATGCAATAAAATCACCCAAATAATAAATGGGAAGAAAAAGCACTTCTGTCTGTTTATTGGTTTTACTTTCAGCACATAATAATAATAATAAATAATAATAATAATAATGGTGTCATCTAGGCTGTTTTAGCTTTGTGAACTATTTTATTTAATAATGGATTATATATCTGAATATGTGAGGTGGTTTGTCATTGAAGGGGGGGGGACGTTAAAGTGGACAGCTGTGAATGTCGTCAGTGATGTAACAGTTACACAGCAGAATAAAATCACTTAAAATGATGAAATTATACATTAGGACTGCCTGAACCTGCTCAACATCTGCTGCTGCTGCTGGTGTGAGTTACAGTTTTATCTTATGGTCATCTCTGGGTTTTCAGCAGAGTGTCTGTGGTGTTGACGACTGTAGCGATAGTTGCTGTTACTTTATTTCCTAAAAAGTACTGTTCCTGCTGCTGAAAAAATAACTCTTCACTTCCTGTGCAGCAGGAAGGAGCCACCAGAGAGTTAGAAAAGCAAATGGAAAAGATGTGTGAAATGAGTTTCAGAGGTAGACTGCAACATATCAGTGTGTTAAAATAGAAATGTTACAGTCACATTATACAACTTTCTTTTTGATAGTGTGCTCGCATCTAAACTTGTCTGTGGCACAGATTTTCAAAAAAAACACTTAAGACAAACAAAAGGTTTCATTTGTTGCAGAAAAAGAAAAAATCTTCATGTTGAATTATAGAAAGGAACCACTCCAGTTATAAAAGAATAAATCATAGACAAAACAACTGTTTAAGGACAGACAATGGCTTGACTGGCTCTTATTTTCAGTACAGAAGACTTATTTCTGAAATTTATCTGTTATTTAGACCAAAAGATCTTTGTCAAGTACTAACAAATTGCCTGCTCAAATGGCATTTTCTGCAGTCCATCCCTCATATATACTTAATCTGCAGTGATGTCAAACAGGAAAAACAGCTAGGCTTCACATTTAGGCAGCTGGAACCATCAAATAGTTTGCATTTATTGTAGATAGTTGGTGTAAAATAGTCTGTCAGTCAACTAGTTGATTTGTGTCAGAACTGCTTGTAATTATATTATAATTATCTGTGAATGCTAAATCAGTGCTAAAGAAAACAAAGGTCCACATTTAATTGATTATTTTTTTAGTAAAAAAAACTACCGTAGATCGCTATTTCGTTGTATGATAGTACTACATGCAGTAAAGCCGTTACACAGTAGGACACTTATCCTGTGCATGAGTAATAGAGGAGTGCTGAGGTTTAGTTTTAGTGTAAATGTTTACTCTGCTGTTTAGATAAACTCGTGGTTGTGATGGATGTGGCTGTTAATGTTGAATTTGAAGGTAAACTGAGAGAAAGTGCCTCCTCCTGCTGCTGCTGCTGCTCCGGTTTTATTTGCTCCATATGGTGTTTGACATGGTACCCAGGAAGGAAAAAAGCTCTTGTGTGGGCGGAGGAAAAGCCTAGTATTTTGTCCGTCCTGAAATTTGATTCAGAAGTTCAGGATCCTGGAAGACAAAAAGCAAACGGAGGGGGAGGGAAGCAAGGCAGAGAAGGACGGAGGGTTTTTTTTAAACTGCGAGAAGAGTAAAGTCGCCAAATACTCTGAAACCTCCGACCAAAGTAAGTCCATTTATACGAGGCATGTTTCTAATTGAATAACGCGCTTAGACAGGCGTTTCATGGAGATAAAGTGATTCACATCTGTCTCTGAAATATAACTTAACTGCCGTAATTGCCGCTGAATGGCCACAAAATATAAGGTTTCAGAGCAGCTCTTTCAGAATGACTTGTGTGTCCTTTACGCACGGATTTAATGCAGGTTCGAACCCATTTTGGCCACATTTTATTTTTTTACTAGCAAATTAGGCATTCTCTGCAGCGCCTATTCTAAACTAGGCAAGACCAGACTTTATTTGCTATGAAGAAGAGGAATTTCCAATAAATATTTGTTTGAGAGAGTTGCTCCGCTGCGGGAGAAAAGTTATTTTTCAGCGGGGAGTAGAAGCACATTGCCCCCCTACGCGCGTGTCCACATGCACGCTAATTCTGATAACCACCTAGATTTATTCCCCCTGCGCTTTAAAAAGCCAGACGGCTCCTAATTGTGCTCTATACATGGTAAATTTGTTTGGAGAAAGATCCTCGTCGCAGATTTTGCGTGCCGATTCTGCGCCACTGTTGGATGTGCGCCAAAAACATCCAGAAAAATGCTGCAAATTCACTCTGCAGATGTTAATGAAAGGGTTTTGAAATTCACCATACAGTTCAAATAACGGCGGTCCAACAAAGGCGCGTAATTGGGGTTGTTTTACATCAATTTCTCTGGCGCTAATCGTCGTACAATAAGTACATTTTGCGCGCTTTTATAGTAAGATGTGACCCGAAACAGTCATGAAAGAAGTATTCATATCACTTAAGTTTAAATAGCAAAACCACAATGTAAAAATAATCTGATCAGGCGTATAGCCCTGCGTTAAAATGCAGCCTACTCAAATGTACATAAGTAGGCTATTGGCAAAAAAATGCAGGCCTGTAAAAAGTAAAAGTATTCTTTATCAGTTATATTGTTATATTATTGGATTATTTTTCCTTTCATGTTGTACTTGGTTGAAGCTATTTGAGCTGTTTCACTTACTGTTGTGTACTTAAATCAGTAACAATGCATCATATTTTATAAACTTCCTGCATGATTTTAATCTTAAAAGTAACTAGTTGTTATATAAATAGATAGCAGAGTAAAAAAATACATCATTCATTGTCATTAGTGCAGTAGAAGCATATAGTAGCATAAAAATGGAAACACAATGGTAATACAAGTACTGTACTGCACAGTATTTGATGTGCTTAGTTTCCAGTATTAGAGTTATTGTCTTGATTAAATATAATTTAAGGTGTTTACTCATAAGAAATGACTCCAACATTTTTATTGTGCATTAACTTTGACTGTATTTGTTCCCAAGATCTATTACAGAAATGTATTTTCCTGTCTTACTTTTTTATTTAATTTGGCTATCCCATTCATCGTCAGTCGCTTATCCTGTGTACAGGGTCACGGGCTAATTTGGCGATTTCTTGTAAAATACATACTTTCACATGTAGGCCAGTATTAACTTTATAGGCTAGTTAAACATTGGATTATTCGCCTTCCCCATGCCTCAAAAAATATGAAAAAAAAACTGAACTTTGTGGTTCAACAAGTATAGCCTATAATGTTTGGTTAGAGTCTTGGCTTTGAAGCAGGAAACTTGTCTTAGTTACCTTTATCCCATATTATATATATTAAGTTTTTTATTTAATGCTGATTCATTTGGAAGTTTGATACATTTTGTTTAAGTTCAACACTTTGGTTCAACACTTTTTTGCTGAAAGTAAGACAATAAGATTGATACCACTCATGTATGAAGCTGGAGCGAGAGACATTTAGCTTAGCTTAGCTTAGCTTAGCTTAGCTTAACTTAGCGTAAAGACTGGAAACAAAGGGAAACAGCTAGTCTGGTTCTGTACAAAAGTATCAGAATCCTACCAGCACCTCTAAAGTTCACTAATCAACTCAGTATCTTATTTGTTTAATCTGTACAAAAACAAATCTTAAAAATGATTAGCTAGCTGTTTCCAGTGTGTTTGCTAAGCCACGCTAGCTAGCTGTTTACTATAGTTTCATATATAATGGGGAGAGATGGGATTGGTATCAATCTTCTCATTTAACTCTTGGTTCAAAAGAGAAAATATTACCCAAACTCAAGTATTTTACAGACATTGGTATTGATATCTAACTTTCTTAATATTTTGATTGCCTAAAATAGTCCAGTTTAAGTGTATTCAGTTTAAACAAACTGGACTTGCAAAATACCCACTATGAATAATAATAATTATTGACCGTAAACTAAAATACAGAGGACATGATGTCAGTGTGCTGGCTGCATGATCAAATGTACGTGCAATGGTTTTTGGATACAGGATTAAGCTTCAAAGAAATGTTAAATGGACTTTCTGCAGTAGACCTCTGGGTTAATCCGTCCTATCACATGTTATTAGAAAAGTGTTATCAAATTAAATCAGTTTATAGTTTTAACATTTTGTGAAGAAGGGTCTCAAGAAAACCAAAAACTTGAATGATAACAGTTCAAACCTGCACAGGCAGCGTTACCTGGCAGAGGAAGATAAACTTCCTGTCAGTGATGACTATTGCACACTGATTTCCTTTAGTCCCAAAAAAGCTTCTTTATACACATAACACAAACCGTTTGACATGAGTATGTGGAGTGAAAGTCCCAACTTTTGGTTTTGAGGGTTTGTACCTGCCTAATTTGGAGGGTAAATGATATCCTCGTCACTAAAAACAGAAGTTAAATGTGGTTTTCAGAGTTTAAAAAAAAATTCTGTCAGGGTTTATGATGATGTGGCTTCTGCACATTTCCTCAAGTGCACATGCTTGATAGAAAGTGAATAATTGACTCTTTAATAAAAAGCAAAGCTGAATCTGTGGTTTTATCGGTACAGTTGTGTCCTGATTTGGCTTCTCTGACACATGAAGAATGGAAATCGTTTTACTGCCCTGTGTGTCCCTGGTTTGGTGTTTTTAACTGGTGTTTACCTGAACCTCCCTCTCAGGCTGTGTGACTATGAGCACCTCAGGGCTTCAAGCCACTAACCGGCAGAATGTGAAGGAGCTCGACAGCATGAAGGAGTCCATCAGCGACATCATCAACCAGCTCCAGGACATCGATCCGACCAGGCTTTCCTTCTCACCATTTCTGGACCTGGACACTCAGATCTCCTTGGCGCCGGTGTCGGACAGCCCCGAGTCCTCGGTGGAGGAGCTGCACTCGTCCTCCCACTCTGTCTCCGGCTCCCAGCGCTCCCTTGAACCGCCACCAGCAACCAATCAGCCAAGGAGTGAGTTATTACCGCGGCTTTTTGCTGTCTGAAGGAGCTGTAGGATTTGAGGGGAGGCCAGAGCAAATTAGCAAAGGCTAAAGTTTGACTATGAGTACAGACTGGATTCAAAGAGAGTTCAGACAGAGTCAG